ACTAGCAGTTTCATGACCTAGAAATAAGTTTATCTTACCTGGTGGCTGGAGCAGACTGACAAGTTACCTTGAATCGATTCAAAATGTGACTCGCGTTACCTTGAATCGACTCAAACTCTGACTCAAATGGCCTATACATATGTGAATCAACTCGACTCATGATTCATTAAGCTTTCAAATTATTTGATTCGACTCAACTCATGACTCGCAGAAAAACGACTGATTCTTGAGTCGATTCATGATTCAACTCTGAGTCGTATACAACCCTGCTATCAACAAAACAGCAGCTGACCTGTCCAGGCGTGCTGCCCAGCAGAGCGGAGGGTGGAGGCCTGTAACCGCAGGCTTTTCACCACTTAGAATGCTGACATGTGACGTTAGGTGCAACTTTCTGAAGCGTTGTTCTGCAGACGCCAGACGTTGAGGTTGCGTGATCTTTGTGGCCAATCACAGTATAACTGGCAGTTCTGCGGTCGTTTTTGTCTTACTCGGCGAAGATATTTGCATTTAATTGCAAGTGTTTCAGAGTGCATGACTGCTGGGGCATTCCACGATAGATCGACCAAAGCCGTACACCCTCATATTTTATTTTTTGCTTAAAATTGGTCTAATGGGTTGTGATGGGCGGGGAAGCCAGCTGTGCCAAGGATTTTTTTCTTCGAACAACGGTTTCCGAGATATAGCCTCAGGCAATTCCTGGAGGTCACGCTGCAACCCTATGTTTGGCGGCTTATAACTCAGAAACTATTGGTATTCTATGGTAAAAACTTTATATGGTTCAACTCGCAATCAACCAACAAACGTTTTGGCTATCTCCGATTTTCGATTTTTGAAAATTTTGATCACGTGACATCTTGACCTTTTTTTCGAAGAGTGACCTTGATATTTTCCCAACTGAAAGTCGCAATTATGTCTGATGACGATTAAAGCCTTATCAATTGTCATTCATATGCGCAAATAAAAAAAGTGGCTATCGCCCTGCGTTGACCTCAGGTCAGGTCATTTTTATGACCTGTCCATTATTACGAGCGGGAGCGACGCGAGATCTCGAGAATAAAACAAGATAGCGACAAGCGGTAAACGGTACAGGATTCACACGGATAAGGTCTACAATTTTTACGGAGGTCATTTTCAGGTTAGGTCAAAGATGACATCACAGGGGTAAAAAGGAAGTCAAAATAGTTTTGGCTGTACCTTTTGATCTAATAAAGAAAGAGACGTGGAACAGGCACCATTGTGTTTGCTTTCGCCTAGCGCCAGTTCGTTTTGAATTTCAATACCGATGACCTAAGATCAGGTCAATTTCTTGACCACCCCATTATAAGTCAATTGGGGAGAAATCAGCTCCCTTGTTTTTACACTAAAACGCGTCGGAATTGCCTAATATACCATGAGTGACTTCATATACGACTAATTTTGACTACCTTGAGACCTTTTTTGCTCTTGGTCAACTGTGACGTTGCTCTTGGGTCATGTGACGTCATTAAAGGTCACCAAATGTTTTTTTTTTGCTAATAACTCCTTACAGGTTTGAGATACAGCCGTGCGGATAGGCTCATTGTGTTCAGCTCGTCAAGGCCCATCGAATGATATATGATGACCTTAAGGTCACGTGACCTAAGGTCAACTTTTGACCTTGACCTCTCGAGGTCAACATACACATGTTTCGATGCGGATCGACGAGAGGATCACGATGGTGCTATTAGTTTGTTCCTAGCTGGGATACTTTGAAAGTTATTCGAGAAAAACTTCATATATGTGTAGTGCCGCCATTTAGACATTCTTTTTACCCCTGTGACGTCATCTTTGACCTGACCTGAAAATGACCTGAGTAAAAATTGTAGACCTTATCCATGTGTACTTTGTGCCGTTTACCACTTGTCGCTATCTTGCTTTGTTCTCGAGATCTCGCTGTCGCTCCCGCTCGTAATAATGGGAAGGTCATAAAAATGACCTGACCTGAGGTCAACGCAGGCCGAAAGCCACTTTTTTTATTATCGCATATGAATGACAATTGATAAGGCTTTAATCGTCATCAGACAAAATTGCGACTTTCAGTTGGGATAATATCAAGGTCACTCTTCGAAAAAAGGTCAAGATGTCACGTGATCAAAATTTTCAAAAATCGAAAATCCGAGATAGCCAAAACGTTTGCTGGTTGATCGCGAGTTGAACCATATAAAGTTTTTACCATAGAAAACCAATAGTTTCTGAGTTATAAGCCGCCAAACATAGGGTTGCAGTGTGACCTCCAGGAACTGCCCGAGGCTATATCTCGGAAACCGTTGTTCGAAGAAAAAAATCCTTGCCACAGCTGGGTTCCCCGCCAATCACAACCCATGAGACCAATTTTAAGCAAAAAATAAAATATGAGGGTGTAAATTTTATTCATTTTTGGTCGATCTATCGTGGAATGCCCCTGCTGTTGTTTTTATATAATACATACACGTGCTGTAATAAAGGTTTTGTTTTACCACACATGAGCGTATTTCTGAGGTGTTCGCTGACCTGATGGTGTGTTAAAGGGGTACTTCCGGTGGCTCTGCAGAAAGTATCTGTTTTGTTTAGTACCATATAGGGGAAAGTGACCTAATAACGCACTGCTCCTATTTACGCACGAGCGCAAGGAAATCATCGCTAGATGTCACTACAGCTTGCTTATAATCAGCTGACTGCGCTGCGCCAAAGCGTCTGCCTTTTCTGCACCACGTGCAAGTCGATACGGTAAGTTTGGCTTATATCTGTTGTAATGAAGCATCTTTCTGTGAAAAGTCGATGCGACTAAATGGTCAAAAAAATGCCCCAACTAATAAGCAGTGTTCGATATATCCCGAGTTTAGGAAGATTGAATACGAGGGCAGACTTCCCATCTGTGAGTCATTAGGATCAAAAATGTTTGCTGTTCATGTTTCTCAAGGTCATTTTTACCCAGGATGCGTCAGCTTTGTGATATGGAGAATAAAGGAAGAGTGTGCGTGATTAGGAACCGTGTTCTCAAAAACGCACAGTGGCGCGTTCTTAAAGGCGCACAGTCTCCATAAGTCTCCAATCTGAGGTGCGTACAATGGATATCAGATTCGAATTCAGTCCCTACCTACATAAAAACACAGGCAAACCAACCAACCAACCAACAAACAAATAGATAAATGACGGAAAGGCGCCGAGGTTATCGGAGGTCACTGAACTGATCTCGAAATTGGTTCAATTTCTTTTTTATCAGAAAAATGTAGGGACCACGCCTCCTTTGCCTGACTTGATGGTACCTTGGGTACTTTTTTCTTTTTACCCTTCTGAAAACTCCCACACCCTGTTTCGGAAAGCCATGTCCGTCGTTCGTGACCCTGCCAGTGCCCCCCACCCTCCCCCGTATACGCAACACGAGGTTCACATTTCTTTGCTAAAGCGCTCTTTTTCCACATTGGACCGGGCCGGGAATGGAATAGGTGATAATTTTCGAGAAGAGTCGTGAAGAGTTTCGCACCGGCATAAGCAAGCTTGTCAGTTCAGACGGATCAGTAACAAATCGACTGTGAAATTATAAGCATGGATGCATGGATTCTAACAAAGTACGACACCAAAGACTGAACAAGACAAACATGCCTCGTTGAGTGAGTTTAGACGTTAATGACTGAACTTGCAATGAAAAGTTGATATTTTAGTGCACGCTGTATCGCTGCATACACATTGAAAAATGTGCGTAATTAAGGGCTCTTGCTCTTGCTGTGCGTTTTTAGGAAGCCTGTTCCCAATAAGGCACAAATGCAGACCTTTTTTAAAACAGTCGTCATAGCCATACTAAAATCCCATCATAGTTCCGTCTCTGGGATTATAGAGACAATTGATTGCCCAACATACTGGCGTGATTACACCCCTATCGGCGCAGCCATTTGGCCGCAATTGCGATTGGAACCTTACGTGTGCGTTATTGGGTCACTCTCCCCGACGAAGGGACGAATAACTTCTGGAAAGGTACTGACCTTCCTATCAACAAAACAGCAGCTGACCTGTCCAGGCGTGCTGCCCAGCAGAGCGGAGGGTGGAGGCCTGTAACCGCAGGCTTTTCACCACTTAGAATGCTGACATGTGACGTTAGGTGCAACTTTCTGAAGCGTTGTTCTGCAGACGCCAGACGTTGAGGTTGCGTGATCTTTGTGGCCAATCATGCAGTATAACTGGCAGTTCTGCGGTCGTTTTTGTCTTACTCGGCGAAGATATTTGCATTTAATTGCAAGTGTTTCAGAGTGCATGACTGCTGTTGTTTTTATATAATACATACACGTGCTGTAATAAAGGTTTTGTTTTTCCACACATGAGCGTATTTCTGAGGTGTTCGCTGACCTGATGGTGTGTTAAAGGGGTACTTCCGGTGGCTCTGCAGAAAGTATCTTTTTTGTTTAGTACCATATAGGGAGTGGTTTTTGACAGCAACCCTATACGATACTAATTTAAGTACGAATTGGGGTGTGAATCAACACTGAATTTACACCCCAGGGTGTAAAATTACCGCCAGAGCCTGACATCATAGGGTGTACCGAGGGTGTTTAAAAAGTATTCATATGGAGGCAGGCTGGTAAAGCAGCCTATGTGGTGTTTTTTTAGCATGATATAGGTAGTGGTTTTTGACATCTAGAAAACCTTGCATAGGGTACTGAATATTTTTTACAGTGTGGTCCCAGCTATACTCGTATAGCCCCGCATTAAAGGTAGGAACAGTTTTATCTATAAAACTGCCACGATTATAAACAAAAGCATACGAATGTTCATATGGATGTCAAACTCTTCAACATATGATACTACAATATCGAATTTTGTTTACAAACATGTAATCCATGTGATACAACTAGTACAATGAAACCACAGTTTGGTGGCCAAGTCATTGCATTTCCTATATTCCGTCCCCTTTGCGTGTTAGTGCGTCAATATTTGTGTATTTTATTGCGTTTGGTGTGCCTATTTGCATGAATATGAACTTTTTATGGAAACTTTTTTTTTGTTTTCAGGGAAGAAAGTGTGGTTAAGCTCGCGAATAGAATGCGAGTCGTAACGGGCAATCTTCAAAACATCCTACAAAGTAAGTTGTGCCTTCTGGCATTGAGTTCGGTACAAATCGACGAGTGCTGCTGCTCGGTGGCACCATCAGGTTTGAACCCGCACCCCGTTGGGCTATTTTCGGAAACTGCCACCTGTTAACCCGCGCCCTGGTGGGGTCTGTTTATAACGCGACCTGGTGGGGGGGGGGGGCTATTTCCCCCCCCCCTCGTATCTCCAAAACTACTGGACGGATCCGCAAAATTCAAACGGCGTTCGAAAGGCCTGTCAAATTTGTCAAAGGAAACCAAATTTCATTGACCTCGGGGTCACCGATGACGTCATAGGTCAGGTCAAAGATGAAATGTTTCACCGTTCACGGGTCTTCTAGGGAATGCGCTATAACACCGAGGAAAACGCATTTTGTCGAGAATCAGCGATAGGGCGTCAGTTGCCTAGTAGATATGTTGCTATTAGAGGTCACTGACAATACCAGGTCAGGTCACAGGTCAGGTCACCAAGGGTCACAGGTCAGGTCACATGAGCCCAACTTTACTAAGGTTGTGTGATGCATGTTTTATGGCCAATTTTTCATTTCCAACTCAATGGTGTTGGTTATAAGACTATCAGGTACGGCTTAGGTTACTTTCTGGTGAAGGTCAGGTCAACGTCAGGTCAAGGTCAGGCCAAAAAAGGTCGAATTTTAAAGTTGATAGTTTTGCATAAAATGGGTATTGATTCGATGCAGCTCGTCACGGAGAGTCTGATGGTGGTCTTTGTTTTGCGCTACGGCGTCTAGAATTGCTAGAAATTGAGTTTGAAAATTTGACGTCATCAATTTTGAACAGTTTTTTCGCTATAACTTCGCCAAAAAAAGAGATATCAATCTAAAATTTAGTATGTGGATGGAAGGCGGTAAGGACTATCACATGTATTCCGGTTATTGCGAAATTCAAAAAACTCTTTGGATTTTTCGACTATTATATGCAAAAAATCTATTTTTTGATTTTTGGGGGTCTAAATCAATAAATTTCAAAAATCCGAGACAGCAGTTTTGTAGCCCTGTCAATTCTACAGTTTTTATGTCTTCATCATTTTTCTGTATTTGCAAAGCTATAGGCCTGACAGCTCTTCCCGCGAAACCCTTTTTTGGGTCGAAAACGGCAGAACATGACGTCACTCTGACGTCATTTCCGGCCAACCTATCATAGCTTTTGGGAAAAAGTTTTGGTCACAATGTGTAAAATTGATGTCCGGGAGGGTACTGAAAGTTTGGTGACGATCGGCGCAGCGGTTCTGGAGATATATTGAAAAGTCTGGAGGGGGGGCAAAAAATAGCCCCCCCACCAGGTCGCGGGTTAACCCGCGCATGACTGGGGGGGGCTCTACAGAGCTCCCTCCCGTTTTTCGGCAATATCTTCTAAACCGTTTGACGGATCAACACGACACTTGCAGTACCTTCAGCGGCATCAATTTGACACCTTATGTTAAAATATCAACTTTCTGGCTACCGTTGTTTGGCCGGAACTGACGTCAGATTGACGTCATGTCGCCGATTTTGATGCAAAATATTTAATTACCGCAAACGCTCTCAAAAGCTCAGTTTTAAAGCTAGATCCAACTACTTTGCATAAATGGACTACAAATTCACGTAGCAATCAAACGGCTATCTCGAGTTCTCGAAATTCTGAAAATTTTAAAATATGTATTTACAATTACATTTTTTATTTTTTTTTCAACACGTTTTTGATTTTTCGCAAAAACCGGAATATATGTGATAGAACACACACTGATGAACTACACTAGCTAGTTTTCGCCAAATATCTTTAAAAAACAGCTAAGTTATTTGCATTATTGTCAAAATTTTACAATAATACATTTTTCCAAAACCATTTTTCAATGCGTTTTTGACATTGCACGGCAATATGAATGGCACCATCGTGTTCCTGAGCTCAAACTGCATCTGATAAGAACTTTTTTTGTTGAAAAAATTTATTTTCAAAATTTGACCTTTTCTGACCTGAGAGTGACCTGACCTCGGGTAAATTCAGCTGAAAATGACCTGAAATAACACAGATGATATTGTTTTCGAAATCTACGAGTAAAATGGACCATAAAACATGCGTCACTTGACCGATACATGATAGACAAATTTCGTGACCTAGGATGACCTGGCCTTGACCTGAAAAATTCCAAGCAAAAGTTCGGTACCCTCAGGGTATCTAAGGCATATATCAAGGAGCGCTTAAACCAAAAATGAGCCTGATCGGACTTGTCTGCCGGCGGTCAGAGCCTAAATTGTGAACAAGCAAAAATGTTGATAATTTTTACTTTGACCTGACCTGGGACATCATCGGTGACCTCGAGGTTAATGGAAATTAGATTCGCTCGACATTTTTTTCCCAGGGCTATCAGACGCCGTTTGAATTTTGACGATCGGACCAGTAGTTTCGGAGATAGGAGGGGGGGGGGGTTCTGGAGAGCCCCCAGTCACTCACGTTATAGGGAATACCCCAGTCATGCGCGGGTTAAGGGAGGGGGGGGGGGAAGGGGGGGGGGTGAACACCTTCCCCCTCTAACTCGGCTCCTGGGCCACGTAGCGACACGCGATAAGTGGGATTCGGAAGAGCGTCAAAATAATGACTGAAATACATCGTTATGTTTTAGGTCAGATCAACAAAGGTCACAGGTAAAATGTTGTCTATTTCAACATTTTTTTTCGAAGAAGAAAATGCGACGAGACATTTCTCTGGATCCAACAGAGCTACAGCGCCGTAGAAAAGTGCATTCGATAGCCCTCTTAACGCTCTTTCTGGATTTAGCTCTCATATTTGAGTTAAGATCAACTGTTTAGCCTCCAGATGGCAAAAACTTGAAAAATAGCTGTTTTAGCGACAAAAAAAAATCGGCAATAACTTTTGACTAAAAAAAAACAAACTTATATTGTCAGCATTGTGTTCCTCTCTTTAATTTCATCATTGAATTTGAATCTCGTAAAATTTTGAATTCTGGCCTGAAAAAGTCCAATTTAACATTTAACCCGCGCCCCAGTGGCGGTCTCAGCCAACTTCGCCCTAGTGGGGGGGGGGGGGGGCATATGTTACCACCCACCTCTAGCTCAAAAACTAAGAGGGCTAGAAAGACGCGGTAAAAAGCAGTCGATAGCTCTCAATGCGTACGTTTGAAAGTATTTCAGTCATTTTTCATCTTAGAGCAATATTGGGGTCACCAGAGGTCATCAAAGGTCAAAATTTGCCAATTGTCATTATATTTTTCAGAAAACATGCCGTTATCTCAGGAACTATGGTAGCTAGAAAAACGCATGGAACAGCAATCGATAGTTTTTGAAATCTTCTTTTGATAAGGTTTTAACAAAATTGACCTCAGGTCAACGGTTTAGCCTCCAGAGGGCAAAAACTCCAAAAATAGCTGTTTTCACGAAAAATGTTTTTCGACAATAACTTTCGACTACAAAAAGCCACGACATTTCTATTGCCAGAATCGTGTTCCTCTCCCCGAGACGCGTCGAATGAACTATAATTTGACCTTAAAAGGTCAACTTGAAAATTTGATCTCAGGTCAAGTTCATGACCTGACTGGAAAAGGTCATGTTGCATATCAGTCGATGCGTCTCAACAAGACAAACACAATGAGACCATCCCCAGCGTCCTATCTCTTTCCAATCGCGAGTTATTGGCAAAAGCTGTTTGTAGCCTCAAATGACCTCGGAAGACCTTTCTAGAGGCTATCAGCAAAAATGACACCTAGGTCATCACGGGTGGTCCAAATCATTGTGATTCTGAAATATTTGGACTGTTCCTATGCGTACACACCACACACGGATCTAGAGGCATTTTCATTTTTCTCCATTGACTTGTAATGGAAAGGTCACGCCACTGACCTGACCTTAGGTCACGGATATAAAAAATCCGAGATATACAAATTGTAGGCGCCCATAACAGCACGCAATCCACCAAGTTTAAAAGCTTTCTGACAAACACTGCAGGCTGGACATGATTGCAAACTTTTTTAGGCCTGGTCAGTTAACTTGACCTGGTGACCTGACCTGACATGACCTGGGGTCAAAATTTTCACACATTGTCCAAAATTGATGTACCAAAAGCTACCCCAAGCGGCGCGGCGCTACGCGCCGCGGTTTTTTATTTACACGCAAAAACGCGACAGTGTGGTAACATATGCCCCCCCCCCCACTGGGGCGAAGGTTAACCTCAGGTCAAGGTCATGGAAAAGATCAAGATGTATATCCGCGGCTTTGCATTGCTGAGCTAAACGCATCCAAGATGTTATCATCACTAACTAGCTTGTTTTTATAGAAAGTTACTCGCATTGTCCAAAAACTGTTGGAGACGTTTCATGACCCGAGATGACCTCAGAGCTATAACGAGGGGTCACAATTACAATTTTCGGATTCAGTGTGTCAAAACGGCGGCTGTATTTGTATTTGTATTTCATTTAAAGAGCACTCCACAGCAGCAGGGGCTTTTCTGGCTCCGCGTCACAATGTCACATGCATGGTTGGTACGAAAGGTAAGATAATTCACTCATACTTAAAATTACAGGTGCAACGTTCTTGGTAAAGATTGTTCAGGACACCAGCTTTGTTTATTTTTATTGGTAGCTTTCGGAAGACATTCGTCTTCCTTCATCAGCCTGTCTAAAGCACTAAAATTACCTATAAAAGACCAACGCAGAAATCAAAATGCTTCTGTTAACCTAAAAACCTCAAAAGTCAAAACATCATTCGTTGAATTTAACCCGCGCCCCACTGGGGGGGCTATTTATAGCCCCCCTCCCGTTTTTCTGCAATAACTTCCAAACCGCTTGACGTATCGACGCCAAACCTTTAGTACCTTCAGCTGCATCAATTTGACACCTTGTGTCAAAATTTGAACTTCGTACCTACAATAGTTCGGCCGGAAATGACGTCAGAGTGACGTCATGTTCGGCCGATTTCGACGCAAAACATTGAACCACGGCAATCGCTTCCAAGAGCTCAGTTTTTAAACTAGATCCAATTTCTTT